GATAATAAGGACGGTACGCTAACTGGATATATGGAATTCATCTGAGTTTACGCTAACTGCCTTTTGTACTGCACCTTACATAGTATAATCCTCATACACATTTCACTATCGTTATAAATCTAGGCCGGGAGCCTTACTCCTCATAATGAAGCTGGAGATGGACGCGAATGAATGCCTCTGCTGGAAGATTTTATAATTTCTCTCGCTTTTCATCTCCGCGACCGCGGCTCATTTCAAGGTACGTTTAATTTGTTATCTATAGCAGTTCATAAAAGGTGGACTGGCTCCTTTATTCGCTTTACAATGAAAGTAAACGATAAGAATAGTTTACCTTTTAGGTACTTTCGTTATATAATTAATCCATACTTAATATTATAACGGCGAAAGTTTGTATGTCTGGATGTTTGTTACTCTTTCGCACATAAAGTATTGAATGGATTTTAATGAAACTTTACAGTAATATAGCTTATACGTAATAAAAACACATAGGCTATAATATATAAAGATATTGTGTGATTTGTACAAAATAAAGGTACAAAATAATAAGGTACAAAAGCCGCGAATAAGCCACTCAAACTGAAAATTAAGTGGTATTAGTACCAAAAAAAAACTACTCCGAGTTGGGCGATGTATATCATATTTAAAAGTACCCAAATTATGATGATCGGATAAACAGTAAACATGGGGGTGATGACTTCACCATCAGTAAAAATCTAATATAAATTTTATTAACTATATCCGTGTGACATCGAATCTAAGAGACTAAAAGAACTATAAATCTAATGATTATTTATGTTCACAATACGAAAAGAAATTAAGATTATGTACATATTGGATAGATAAAATACGCTTATGAAGCTGTAAGTGAAACAAGCCAGAGATAAGTCACCAGTGACAAAGCCTTCAACCACGCACACACCCACTCCACCAACACAAACCAGGTATATGGTAATAATGACCTGTTCTTAATCAAAATGGGATTATGCGTTTTTCACACAAATTCATGAATATAGTGATATGACGAAATTTTTGTTATATAGATTTGTTGGTCTTTATCCTTTCTTATCTCCTGCTCATATTCCTCAGATCGGCACAAATTGCCAATCATGTTGTTAGTCCTACTGGAGAACAAACATCCAGGTCCGGAACAATTTTTGTCTGTCGGTTATACAAATACTTGATCCATGCGGGAATCGAACTCATGACCTCCAGCGCCTGCGTCGCAACTGCGTACCTCCGTGAATTAATTGCTGAAATACAGCGAAAATAATACTCAACGGCGATGCAATTATCAATATCAAGTGAATCTCTGCAGGACACTAAAACGAAGCAAAGGACACTTATGTAAGATGGAGTAAGACAATGACAAAGCGATTTCAAATAACGAGAATCGCGCGAGATTCGTATCCACAACGGATTCGGTTTTCACACTGGCTGAAGCTTATAGCTTAGCAGCTTCGCCACAGTGACAGCATGTAGATCAAAAAAAAATATTTGATGGTCCCTAACTTAACGTCGGTGAGGTATCGGTATCTTTTAAATTAAAATTTATTCGTTCCTCTAATGTTTAGCCTTGGTATACTTCAACCCAATTAAAATTTTTCATATTACTTACGCGTTCCTATAAGTAATGATCCTGGAGTTTGTTTCTACGAATTTTATTTCGGTGATAGTCCAAAGCACGCTACTCATGTTAAGTAGTACTTTCTTAAATTTTTTTATATCAATCTTTCATCGCCGACAATGGAAGGAAGCGATCGTTGTTAATGTCTCGACGCAATTGAACGCTCTTTAAGTTATGTCGCGCCCGCGGGGTAATTATTCTACAATTTCCGTAACAATTATTGTTCGACATTTAATTAAGGTAACTTTCACTGCCAACTTAATGATAATTATAACCACCTTCATTAAGTAAGTGTCCTTTACGTTTGAGTATGCACAGCTCTCGTCAAAAGTTTAACTTAATCGTGTCTAATTGGTGTAATAAAAATTTTATATTTTCGATTCGTGCGAACGATTCATTTAAACCGAAAGCCAAAAATACTTAAGCATATTTTATTAACACGAACTTGTAACTTAAATTCAATGTTTAAAATATTATTATATAACATTTGAACGCTTTTCGCACTAATATTTCACACAATCATGACGTGCTCATCGGTGAATAAAAACAGCATGTGGTAATATTTTCGAAATAATAAAATAAATCTCCCTCGGCCTTCAACAGTAGGCTTTATAGGATGCTTGCTTGATTTACTTTACTTAATTCACTTTACTTTATCAAACTAATAGTAGAAATTAAATAGTTTGCGTACGTTGTTATTCACATGCCACGACTGAACGAATTTTGAAAACATTTAAAACTATGAAAGCTAGTACACTAGATTAACTCGTGTAAATGTGACTAACAGTGTAAACCGTGAGTTGAAGCTAATAAAAATATTTTCGAAACATACAAGGAAAACTAATCCACGATATAGGTACATCAAAAGTTGAGAAAGTTGTTTTACCATTCAGAAGCATAAGATTTTACTGACTGAGCAATTTCCACGAAATCAGACATTCAATTTAACATTTGTTTACGAAAACGTATCACTCTAATCGAATGTTGAACCAGCATCAAACCGAAGACAAGTAAATGACTTTGAACGATGAATTATATATTGGACCAATAAATATGGCCCTTAGATCGCCCACCGAGATTCCGTGCGCGGAAACTTTATCACATGCCATCTACGGAGGGCCCCCACAATGGCGCGTCTTGGGAGCATCCGCCTATGGCCTGCCACAGACTGATAATATGAAATCATCTCGTCAAGTAGTTACTTCGAAACGTCAGTATTCACCGTTACCCGAATAATTACACGCTGTAATGGGAGAAGTTCGTACAGCCATTTTTTACTATGATTCTCCAGATGCAGTAAATTTCACGTGTTGGTAATTAAAGGGAAGATAACAAATGTTTTGAATAAATAATCTTAAAAGCAACAACATTACTTTAATTCAAGAACAGACTGTTTTAAGAGTAGGTAAAGCCTAAGCTGTAAGTGTTTTTATCAGCGTTCTATTTTTATTTCGATAATGTTAAAGGTTAATTAAATTGTTTTAAGACTTATTATAACAACCAGAAAAAAAAAACGAAAAGCCTAATTCCAAAACGGTAAGTCATAGTATAATAACGATGAAAATAATTTAATTATTTCGTGCTCTTATAAAATAATTTTTCTCTTCAACATTTTTTTTACTATCACATTTTTCAACAAAATTAAAATATCAGACGACGGTAACAACCTACGCAACGAGTTGTTAAGGGTACCCTTAATGAAAACAAATCTCAATAACGAATTATATTTAACATTAACTTATGTTTCGTTTTATTAATTTATTAATCAACTTTGGCTTTTAGCATATTTAGATAGTAGCTCCGAAAGTAAGAAGGGTAATACAGAATCTTTGCAAAATCTTATGTGACACCATCACACCCTCTTTGTTGTGCTAGGACAAATTGTTAAGCTTCCGTAAATTTCAAAGTTTCGCCAAGAAAGTTTGATTCCCTTGTGAAATAACAGTTGACGAAACCTACGTCTATTCTATGTAAAATGATTTTATTGAAAGAATAAAATTTTTATTGCATAGCCTTTGTGAAAAGGTGATGCAAATAGCAACGCTTTCCCTGTCTATAGATATTTATATCCGTCCGCACCCCACGCACAAAATGTAGACCCTATACGGCAATCTATGTGAGGGACACCCTATGACCTCACGGAGCGAGGGTCTACGCAATTTCATGCATTGACCCGAAAATGGACCTTAATTTTGACTTTTTAGAAATCATTTTACCACAATCATATATACATTATTATCGTTAGGGTTTACACCATACGTATATGTGAGCATTTTTCTAAATATACAAATGTTTATTATGCTCCTGCAGAATCTATAAATAAAATGCAAAAGGCAATATGCCTTGAGAAGTAAAAGGCATTGATATTCCTATGAAGCAAACATAGTGCAGTATGAATCTTGTAAGCCTTTATTTAAACCATAATTTAAATTTAATTCAATTTCTTAAAGCATTTCTTCATTCAACAGATGAATTGCATCAAGATACGAAAACTAGCTCTATGGTGATGTGATTGGGAGCATTTTTCATTGAACTTATGACAATGCAACAGATGTGTCCTATTAATTACTAAGTAACTTCAAGTTATCTATATCGTGTCCATTTCTTTTAATTATTAATTAGTAAGTATAGTTTTCGATTTGCTTTCACTAAATTGTTATGACATTTCTTAAACTTAGAGCTACATGAATGCAATGATCAGTAGAGTTTTATTTTATTTTCAATGCGATGATCTCATCATTACATTTCGCATTGAAACCAGTATATTTCTGGGGCATGACATATCCCTTGGCTTGATTTAGTTACGCGACTTCATCAGAACGCCGTTCACGCAATCTAATTTCAGTGTAAGACGCGATATGGGTCACAACTTCTCTTAACGCTTATTCCTTATTTCGAACTGTTGTGTGCTAATTGGCTTAATGCATAAACATCGATCTCATTTTCCTTTCTAATGCTTTTATGTTGAAATCATAGCTACTTCCGTGAAAAGAAATTAAGGTGGTGTTAGCGACCTCGAAAGCCATCGACGTCACCACGTACAACGAGGTCAGTCTACTGTCCTGGCCAATGCAAGAGGTCTTAGATCTCAGTGGATCAGGCTAGTGCAATAATGCGGAGATTATTAAGGAATGATTTCTTATAACTGACGTTCATAGGTGGAAACTAATACGCTAGAAGAAGGTTTTATGACAAACAACTGAGCTTAGTGGGCCGGAATCGTGGGTCACGAATGATCTGTTCAAGATGCGATTTTCGAAACTTGTAGACTACGAGCCTGTTTAAAATGTCAGATCGGGCTGCACTAATACGGAAGTCACCAAGAAAACGCGACTTTCCGCCGAGGAAGTTATCACCCAATGACAGATGTCAGTCAGTGGGTCGGGCTGCTCCGTTCCGGGGGGTCACCAACCTTTTGACAGTGGACCTCAGTGGCGGCGGTGTCGCCGTTCGCGGTCGATTCGGAGAAGGTGACGCCGCGGCGAGCGCGGCGCTCGTCGCACGCCAGGGCGCTTGCGTGTGACGCGTTCGGCGCGCGGCCGCTCGCGCTTTCCGGCCGAGACTGGCGGCGGCTCCGCGTTTTCCCTCCCGCGCTTTCCCGCCGGCGTGCGCACGTCAGGCCCACATTGTTCTGCAAATAGCGGGCTCGCCTGCTCCACGGATGAGCGCCGCTTCCAGCGCCTCGCACCGGACTACGGACGGCGGCGTCGTGCGCCCCGCGGATAGCGCTCCGCCGCCGCACCTTGCACAATCGCGACCCACGTAACCGCCGGTAGGGCGGCCGTGTTTAGGATGTGCACGGCCCCGCACGCGCTCGTTGGTTCGAAATTTGAAAATCGGGGAAATCTCCGCGAGCTCTCCGTTCGAATTGCTTCTGCTCAATTGAAAATAAAAGAGAATCTCTAGTGCAGCCCTGTGACCGAACAATATTGATCAGACCCGAAGACCGTTCGAAGAAACGCGCGCCCGAGATAAATCTAAACACGGGCAGATAATCGCGGATGACACAAATAAACGTGCGCCGTATGCGTAAACAATAAATCTACACAACGCCCATTATTCTCCAGCATAATGGCAGCTATTTCGAGAACGCATAAAATTGCCACCGCGAATACTCCAACAGTCAACATTCCAACTCCGACGTCACAAACGTCGATCGGTAAACAATTGACTTTCCGGGTAATGTAGCGGCGATGTGACCCCGTTGCTTGCTAATGTGCTTACTTACTCGACGGACTTGTTTAGGGGTATTTTTACGAGTATATCCTGCACCTAACCCGAAACCCAGTCAATCTATTATCGGTGTAGCTTAAATATACTAAATGAATATGAGTACCTGAATAATAATACCCAAATTAAAACAATTTGGGAAAAAAATAAACGAGCCAGGTTTTGGAGCAGTTCCTTCTGTCAGAGTCAATGGTTTCGTGACTGGGACATCGGGTTTATGATCTTTAGGTCGCGAGATCAAGATCCATTATCACGGAAAAGATTAAAGTTTTCTCATATTGTTTAGTGTAAGAATCGCTGTCTCACATTTTTTTTAGAGTTTTGACAAAACGAAATCTACACACTGACGACAGTATTAGATATCTACCACTGTCTTGCCGTCTACCACTGTAGAAGGCATGACAGCCTGTTGAATGCACCTTCAATAAAAAAGATCCCTAAAGATAGTAAGGCTTGTTTGAACGTTGAAATATTGAACAAAGCAGTCTTAAAAGCGTGTGTGAATAGGCACCACTATAGCTCCATCGCTCCTGTCCGTCACGTAAAGGTTTTCAAGCAATAGACACTACATAGCAACAAGACGCTGCCTTTAAGATTCCAGGCAAACTTGGTGTGACAACAACATTTTTTTATGTGAAATGTTGCCAAGCGAGCTGGCGTTTCACCTGAAGTTAAGTAAATACCGCCGCCCATGGACATCTGCTACACCCGAGGGTTGCAGATGCGTTGACAACCTTTTGAAAATTGGGCTCCGGCTACTTCACTCACCAGACGAAACGCGAAAGTATTCATTATACTTCCCCTTCACGCCGGTCGTCTGAGAAGTAAGGACTGTAAGAAAACCATATCGCGATCTAATTTTATTCACGCCATCTAACGAGTACCGTTACAAACAACATGGTCATGTTGTTTTAGTTATACCTATCTAAAATCAATGATACAATATAATTCTATTCCAACCCGCAACCTCGGATCAGAATTCTGACAATTGTTAATTAGGCTTGACTGTATCACCTCTTGCTACGCAAGTTTTGCAACGTACTCGTACACACAATATTAACGGTGAAGATTTTATTATTTTCATATTGAAGTGAATTTTTGTGAGGCAGTCAAAGATGTAAGTTTCAATTACTTAGGCGACGCTAAAAAAAACTTCCACTCAAATCAAAAATATATTTATTCACATAGACGCTTGCACGTTCTTATGAAATGTCAAAAATTTAACATAAAAATTAATACGTTCGTAAGTTACCACCGGTTCGGAAAGCGGTTTCTGTTAAGAAGAAACCGGCAAGAAACTCAACAGTTGCTCTTTTTTAACACAATTAGTTTATAAATTCTTTAGATAACAATTAAGAGATTATGTCTAACATACAAAATATTACAATAAATATATTGGGACGCAAGAGTGAGTAAATTAATCTCTTTAAAAATATCTCTGAGTGTATTCCGGGCTCCGATGTTATAGATTGCTCGGACAGCTCTTTTTTGAAGAATAAATATAGAATTTATATCAGATGCACTACCCCACAACTAAATGCCGTACGGTAAGATGCTGTGGAAATAACTAAAGTAAACAAGTCTGGCAGTGTCGATGTCTGTTAGCTGTCTAACCTTCCTAATCGCAAAAACAGCGGAGCTTAGCCTACTCGCAAGAGATGATAAATGGGGACCCCACTGAAGCTTTGAATTTACTGTAATCCCCAAGAAAACTGCGAACTCAACAGGATTGAGGGATACGTTATTTAATAATAAACTAAAACTTTGCCTTCTTACACTAGGAAGAGTAAAAAGAATACATTTCGTTTTTTTGGCATTTAATACCTTATTATTTATGGTGAACCAGTGAAGGATATGCGAAAGTGCACCATTTACGCCGTCATAATTTGATAAATTTCGGTCAACCTTAAAGATGAGCGATATATCGTCAGCAAACAGTATAACATCACAAAACTCACTGGTATAAGAGGAGAGATCATTTATATATACTAGAAATAATAATGGGACTAAGATTGATATTTGTGGGACACCCATTTTCATGGGGGACCCTGCGGAATTAACATCATTTATAGATACTTTTTGAATTCTATTACTAAGATAAGAGGTAATGAGATTGAGGGCGCTGTCACGAATGCCGTAATAATCTAGCTTACGAAGAAGGTTTTTGTGATCTACGCAGTCGAAGACTTTTGAAAGGTCACAAAAGACACCTAATGCACACTGTGAACTTTCCCAGGCATTATAAATATGCTTGACAAGTGCGACACCCGCATCTGTTGTCAATCTGCCTTTAGTGAAGCTATATTGCTTATTGTGAAAAATTTATTTAAATAGTTGATTTAAAATTAGTTTTTCAAACATTTTACTTAGAGATGGCAATATGGAAATAGGTCTATAGTTGCCTGGATCATTTTTATCCCCACTTTTAATTTTAGGGGATTATCTTATTAAAGATCTGGAAATAATCCAGAATCTATACAATTATTAAAAATGTAAGCCAAATGTGGTGCAATATATGGCATTATTGTGGTCATTAATTTTATGGACATGCCCCATAAATCCTCTGTATTTTTAAGATTAATAGTATTCAAGGCTTTTACGATATTATTAGTATCTGCGTGATTAAATTTAAACGTGTGTCGACAATAGGTAACATTATTTTTCAATACATTCATTGCAGCTATGGGAGAGGATTTTAATGTGCATGTGACAAATAATTTTCGAAGCTATTTGGAATTTCTTTGTCTGATGTTATGGGATTATTACCTATGATAAGTTTTATAGGTTCCCTGAATATCTTGGGTCTTCCAGATATACAGGTAATGATGTTCCATGTGTTTTATTTTATTATTTCAATTTAGAATTCTATTTCTTATATAAATAGATTTTGCCTGAGCACAGACTTTTTTAAATATTTTGAAAACGTTTGTAACCACTGGAAATATTTATATAAAAATATTGACTTTTTGCGTCTGAATGGCGACGCACAAAAGATGACGACGCAAAACATTTAACATTAAATTATTTTCAATGTATGCCTTAATGGTATGTTTATTTAGGTATTATAATCTTTTTTCTTTATAAGAGTTTATATTTAGACGCTTAGATAAAATCATATTTTAATTTTGTTAAGTTTAAACAATGAAAAAATAGTTCAAATAAAAAAACCGTTTATGAATTTTACCCCACTTTTGAGATAAAGTCAATACGGACATATTTAAACCTACTTGTCATCATTTTGAGAAGTTTTTCGTGACAAATCGAGCACAATTATTTTATGTATAAATGTGTCTCCATGGAGTTTCATGTCCAAAAATGGAGGCCACTTTTCTTTGCTTATTTAAAACATTGCTTTAATTATAGCTCTGTGGCATTTTCTGCCACAATGCTATAATTATATTTATATATATATATATATATATATATATTTTGTTATAGATATTGCTGCGGCTAGTGACAAGAAGGCTAGTTCTCAAAGTTTAAGCATAACTAATCAGCCAGGAAGTGCAGCTAGCATTCTTGGCACCATGCCGCATAGGTGAGGTTTGCTATAATAATATGTAATTTAATTAGTATTTAATATTTTTTGTACAATAAGTCATCATTACTGACTGGCTGACTCAGTAAATTTTCCTTTTATTTATCCTCTAATATTTATTATAATCAAAGTTAATCTATGCATAATACTGTTTATAAAATATTCTTTATTAAGTATTAAGATTTTCTAGTATCGCCTACGAGCATTTACCAAACATAGCAGAAGCTGCTGCGTAACTCTATAGTCACAACATACAGTTTGTAACACACATCTACTGAATAAAATTGTAGTTGTCTTCATTAGGGTTAGTGATAGTTAAAAAAGACGCTCGAGTGGGAATTATCAATAAAAATAAGCAAGTAAGGAATTATTGGACTGCAACAGTGGACTCAAACAGGCTGAAATGATGATGATGATGATGAATTATTATATTTCTGCCTTTTATATGGTCACATTCCCCAAGAGCATATATATATATATATACAGTCAAACCTGGATAAGCGAGAGTTCAAGGGAGCACAATCTCATTCTCGCTTATAGAGGTTTCTCACTAACCCGAGTTTTTCGCTAATGCAGGTACATGGGTAGCATTTCTCTCTTATAGAGGTACGCAGCAATAACAAGTCACAGCAAGTACAAATGTAGTAAATACATATGTGATATGATAAAATTATGTGCATAATATGCACAACATATGTTAGATTTCGACATATAAGTACCTTATAAGGGTAGGTATCAAGATGCTTACGAAAACAAAACAAAAATTCATGCACTATGTAATTTTAATTTATTTAGAACTTATTTACACTTAAAAAAATCCGTCAATTTCGTTTGGGTTTCTGTTTTAGTATTTTGAATGTTTTTCTCTAGCTCATAAATTTTATCGAATATTGCTTGATCAACAACCGCCGCGTATTCAAAGTACTGATGGACCGTCTCCAATGCATTTAAAGCTAGCTTCATTGGAATGATCTTTATTTCTGTTTCCGGAATCTGTGCCTCGTCTTCACTGTCATTTCCAGAAATACAGGTGTTCACACAATTATTAACGATATCGTCGTCGGTTTGTTCTCCAGCGGTAGTTACGTCGTCGTCAATTTGAACGAAATTTTTGAAGCTCGGCATTAACATATTGGATTCGTGAGACACAAGCTTAGTCCATTCCTCGTTGCTAGGTCCAACTTCAACATCATTTTCCAAAACCCATCTTTCTTGAAACAGTTTTTGACAGTAACGTCACTGACTAAGTACCATGCTTTTCTAGCAAATTTCATAGCTAGAAGTACGTTAATGTCAGGGCTATTGTTTTCTTCCAGACTCGTAAGAATATGTTTAACGACTTCTCTGCGATAAAAAAGCGTTTAAAAGTGTGAATGATGCCTTGATCTAATGGTTGAAGTTTTTACTAGTGGTGTTAGCAGGTAAAAACATTACTTTTACGTTTGCAAGTGTTGGTAAGTCCGTATGGGCAGCACAGTTGTCAATGAATAGCAGAATTTTTTTTCGGTTTATCTTCATTTGTTTGTCAACTTTTTTCAACCAATCTTTAAATAGTATCTTGGTCATCCAAGCCTTTGTATTATTGGCATAATCAACAAGTAGAGTCTTGACACCTTTAAAACATCTAGGTCGCTTTGATTTCCCGATGATGAGAAGTGGGAGTTTGTCCGTACCACTCATGTTTACACACTGGAGAAGTGTGAGGCGTTCCTTGCTTTGTTTTTCCTCCATGGCATTTTTTCGCCTTTAAACGTAAATGTTTTATCCGGAAGGCACTTGAAAAACAAAGCAGTTTCATCCGCGTTGTAAATATCGTCTGGTTCATACCCTTCTAAAAGATTTGGCAGATCTTTAGTCACAACAGTGGTTGCACACACCTTGGTCCACAGATTTACTTTCCCCAGCTGCTTTTTTGAAAGCTATATCATGACGCCTTTTAAAACCCTCTAACCAGCCGTTGCTAGCAGAAAAAGTTCTGGATTCTCAGTTTTGTAGCAAACTCTTTTGATTTTTCTTTCAACAAAGGTCCATCTATGGGAATGTTCTTATCGAGAGTTTGTTTTATCCATTCCAAAAGGCACTTTTCGATATTGGGAAATTCAGAAACTCTAGTCCTATTAATATTTCCATGTCCATCAGAGCACTCAGACTTTATAGAGTCTTTTGATTTTACAATTTTATAATAGGTGGATTCTGGTAAATTAAACTCCCTCTGAATTTCATTTCGCGATTTTCCGGATTCAAACGCATTCACTATTGTAAGTTTATCACTTAATGACAGTACTTTAATTTTCCGTTTTGACATGATGCAGAACAGAACTTTCCTTCGCATATATGTATATATATATATATATATATATATATATATATATATATATATATATATATATATATATATATATATATATATATACATGGAATATATAGTTGTGTTTCTCACTTAAAACTGGCCAACTAGCTTCTGTGTTCTGTTTTATTAACTATTCCCAAAAGTATAGTTCTCATGTATTTGCTTTTATGTCCCACAACAAACTAGATAAGCTCTTCTCTTTTATGTGTACACCACACACCCAAGGGTGTATAATATATGGAGAAGCTTACATTACCTTAAACAGAAGAGTTCTATTTTACTTTCTTGGTTGTACACAATACAACAACAAATGCAGTTGCTATTATCACCGTCAACTTCTAAGCGAAAGGGCCCGTTAGGCTTTAACAAAGAAGTCAATTAATATTCCGTGAGAATGAAATGCTAATGGCGGGCAGCGCGGCAGGTTCCGCGGGCATTTTTAGGGTTCTGTACCCAAAGAGTAAAACGGGAACCCTATTACTAAGACTCCGCTGTCTGTCTGTTTGTCTGTCCGTCTGTCACCAGGCTGTATCTCATGAACCGTGATAGTTAGACAATAAAAATTGTCACAGATGATGTAATTCTGTTGCCGCTATAACAACAAATAACAATAAATAATATTTAAATGGGGCTCCCATACAACAGACATGATTTTTTCCCCCGTATTTATAGATATTGGCACTGAACTCTTCGTGCGCGAGTCTGACTCGCACTTGGCCGGTTTTTTTTTTTTATTAAGCTGCCTTGGACCGGGAAAGGAGGTCGGCGTCGTCGCTAATGAAGCTGCTCTCTACACGAATCAATTGATCCCGCTTAACATTCGTGTCGCGTTACGATCTAGTATAATGTTTCACGGCTTGGATATATCGAACTACGTTTTGGGAACTGTCAGTTGCGTCACCTGCTTATTTCAAGAGGTGAATGTTCGACAAATTAAAATTCGACTATGCTTACAACAGGACAGAAAATATAGTGATTTAGTTTTGAAGCGAGTCATTGTTTTGATACCAAAGGTATACACAACAAATGAATTTAAGTAAATTCGTTAAACCAACCAGTTAACCTAAGGACATATCTTTGGTTTTTAAATAGCGTTATGTTTTTGCTATCGTCATGTATCTCAGCAGTCACGGCTTACAATACAATAGTGAAAAGTAAACAATTTATTAAAAGGATTCAACAAACAAATTAAAAAAAATTAAGTTATGATTTTTTTATATGCCACAACGTAAGAAGTATTTTACCGTTTTGCTCGTTTTGTCCAACCATATACACACCACTGCACGCAAAAAAATTGTGCAATGACAAATAAATCAGGACACTTTTTACCCAAGATATCTCTTCCCAAACTAAGCAAAGCTTTAACATGCTTTGGTAACAAATAAACATACGACATATAAAAAAAGACTACTTATAAAATAGATCAGCACAAAATATTCAGTAAATACAGTTTTCCAGAACTAGAAACCTGACCTTCTGAAGCGATGGTCAGGTTTATTAGCCACGACAACAAAGCTAAATAAATGGTGTTCAATATCAGGCATAATGATCAAGGACTACAAAGTTCTAATCATTCGAGGCAAAGGTCTACATTGCACTTGACAACAAATAAATGGTGTTCAATATCAGGCATTATGATCAAGGACTACAAAGTTCTAATCATTCGAAGCAAAGTCGACATTGCACTTGACAACAAATAAAGGGTATTCAATATCAGGCATAATTATCAAGGACTACAAAGTTCTAATCATTCGAAGCAAAGTCTACATTGCACTTGACAACAAATAAATGGTGTTCAATATCAGGCATAATGATCAAGGACTACCAAGTTCTAATCATTCGAAGCAAAGTCTACATTGCACTTGACAACAAATAAATGGTGTTCAATATCAGACATAATGATCAAGGACTACAAAGTTCTAATCATTCGAGGCAAAGGTCTACATTGCACTTGACAAAAAATAAATGGTGTTCAATATCAGGCATAATTATCAAGGACTACAAAGTTCTAATCATTCGAAGCAAAGTCTACATTGCACTTGACAACAAATAAATGGTGTTCAATATCTGGCATAATGATCAAGGACTACCAAGTTCTAATCATTCGAAGCAAAGTCTACATTGCACTTGACAACAAATAAACGGTGTTCAATATCAGACATAATGATCAAGGGCTACAAAGTTCTAATCATTCAAGGCAAAGGTCTACATTGCACTTGACAAAAAATAAATGGTGTTCAATATCAGGCATAATGATCAAGGACTACAAAGTTCTAATCATTCGAAGCAAAGTCTACATTGCACTTGACAACATCATCGCATCGTTGCTTGGAACTTTCGATCTTGATCTTGAGTAGACTTTCTATTGCATACTAGTAAGTGGGGATAAAATGCAATCATGTTCGCACACTGGCCGTGTTCCACTTGTGAGATGACATCTTTCGGTAGAAACTAGACTTCGCACTAAGCGGTAAACACCATCGATATTGATTTTTCATATAATTAGCGCCGATATAAATTTCAAGTAATGTACCGATGCATTCACCGAGTTTACATGTAAAATTAACAGTCCCTTATTTTTATGATATTTATTTATTTATTTTAGCTTCATTGCTACACCTTAAGCTAAGGGCTACAATGGGTGGACTTAATGCCTAATGGCATTCTCTACCAGTCAACCCTTGTCCTGGTGAAAAGTATATGGTAGGTGCTAAATGAAGACTATAAAAATTTAAGTTAATAAATGTGCCATAAAATGCAACATATATGTACACAAATAAGTAAATATATAGATACATACAGATAAATATATAAATAAATACATATACGGATAATAAAAACACCAATATATAAAACCTAAAAATCATACGATTTTCTATATCAAAGCCAAAATGTGGTTTTTTTTTATTATCACTTATATTTTTACATTTAGCATTAATATGATTTAATATCCTATTATAAAATCAATTTTTGAGTGTTTCCGCGCGCCCTTTGGATATACTAACGACGTATTGATATTTGAGCACATCATTGCAATTCCATTGTCAGTTAACCGCAGGAAGCGGATCTGACCCAAGTAGGAGTGTTTACCGCTAAATGTGCGTTGTGTACATCACTGATCCGAATATTAACAGCGTTATATTGATGACTATTCTTTAACTTATGACGCTAAGAAATG